CCATCACCACCACCACCACACCACCACACCACCACCACCACCGTTAAGGGCTCTCACCCCGTGCTTTCTTTCCCCCCGCCCCCCCCTGCCCCTGCCCCAGGACCACCAGCTGGCTGTGGTGGACTGCCTGCGGTCTGCCGACGTCACGCTGAAGCGCAAGACGCTGGGCCTGCTGTACAAGATGGCGGGGCCCAGCAACATCGAGGTGTGTGTGTGGGGGGTGCCTGGTGGGGGTGCGTGCCGGATGGCTGTGCCGGGTGTTTGTGCTGGGGCGGGGTCTGTACGCTGGTGGAAGGCGCAGCGAGCCCCAGGGCGCGGCGCTGGGCGCCGCCACGCCAGCACATCTGCCCGGCACCTGCCCGCCCGCCTTCGCCCCGCGCCGTTGTTGGTGCGCTGGCGCACACAACACATGTACACACACACCACCCCCGCCTGCGCCCTGCGCCCCACCGGCACTGTGCCCGCCCCCCCCCCGCAGGTGATTGCGGGGGAGGTGCTCAACTACCTGCGGGAGGGCGGCGACGAGGTGGCGCGCCGCGACGCCGTGCGCTCGCTGTGCGACCTGGCTGAGCGGTACGCGCCAGACCACGTCTGGTTTGTGGACACAATGAACGAGCTGTTCGAGGCGGCGGGTGAGGAGGGGGGCTGGCTGGATGGAAGGGCTGGATGGAAGGGCTGGCCGCGCCGGTGGCGGCCAGCGTGCATGGGCGCATGCGCGCGTGCATGCCCGTGGGGCAGTGGTGCCCTGCCTGGCTCCCTGCCTGCTCACCTGCCTCCCTTGTGAGAATGCCCCTGGTCCCTGTGCCACCGGCCTGCCCGCCTGCGGACCCCTGCCGACCCCTGCCCTGGCCGCCCTGCCCGCCTGCGTGCGCTGGCCTGCAGGCGAGGTGGTGCCCACCAGCCTGGCCGACAACCTGACGCGGGTGATCGGTGAGGGGACGGGAGAGGAGGATGAGGCGGCGGACCGAGAGCTGCGGGCGGGGGCTGTGGAGGGGTACCTAGAGATGCTGGGCAGGCCCAAGCTGCCGCATGTGATGCTCAAGGTTGGTGTGTGTGGTGGGTGGGTGGCGGGTCAGGCAGGTGGCGGGGGCTGACGCTGGCGGGGCAGGTGGTGCACACGCAGCGAGGCGGCACATGCACGCGGCAGGCTGGAGGAGGGCCGGGCTGCCGCCCGCAGCAGCCACGGCGGTCCACGGCTGCCGTAGACCTGTGCCGTGCCATGCCCTGCACCCACCCCCGCTGCAGGTCATCTGCTGGGTGGTGGGCGAGTATGGGCGCCTGTCCCCGCTGGGCATCGAATCTGTGATGGACCGGCTGGCCGCCATCCCGGAGACGCAGGCCTCGGACGATGAGGTGAGAGGTGGTGCTGCTTGATGCATGTGATGCAGAGGCGTGCCGTCTGTATGGGCCGGATGGGGCGGATGGGGACGGCGTGCAGCGGCCCCTGGAGGCGCCAGGGCGTCGATTCCAGCTGCCGCTTGCATCACACACCGCCCCGACAAGCA